CTCGGAATTTTTACCTTTGTGGGTGCTGAAGTTAAGTGGTTCAGCAAAAGGATCCCTTGTAAGAATCGGATTTTCTGATTCTGAAGATGTCTTTGGGTTTTACCTAAAATCCTATTGTTAATGTGCTTCCAATTTATCCCAAGGAGATGCCTTGAATCAGGCGGCAGCCCCACTGGGTGCGGCTATAAATTCGGAGCTTTATTGGAACGCTATTCCCGACAGGGTGGGACTTGGCAGCTGGCTGAACTTGGCACTTCCGCTCACCCGTTCCTCTTCTGTCCATGCCAGATCTGCTGAAGCGTGCGTTTCAGAAGTCTGCGTCGGTGCGGAACATCCTCAAGCCCGTCGGGGGCAAACGCGTGGACTCCGCGGAGGTGCAGAAGGTGTGCAGCATCTGCGTCCTCTACCAGACCTCGCTGACCACTCTCACCCAGATCCGGCTGCAGATACTCACAGGTTTGCAGGCCCCGGGCCTCTTCTGGCTCACGTCTGGCCGACAGTTTTGCTTGGAACACGTGGATTTCTTCTGGCTTCCGTGAAAGAGGGTGTTTGTGAGCCATTCTTAGAGGCCGAGTAGTTGAACAGCTCAAACTAATCTCAATCCCGGCATTTCCAGTTCATTCCTGTGACCTGGCTCTTTATTCTCATTATGAAGTACTATTGGCTTTTAAAAGATCACTATTTTTTTTTTTTAATCCTCACTTGAGGATATTTTTCCATTGCTTTTTTAGAGAGTTGAAGATAGGGGGAGGTAGAGAGAGACATCAATGTGAGAGAGACACATTGACCTGCTACTTTCCACACTCCCCTGACCAGGGCTGGGGGGGTGAAACAGCTACTCCTTGGTTCCCAGACAACATTCTAACCACTGAGAACACTGGCCAAGGCAAAAAGTTATTTTTTAAAAAATTTTAATAGAAAACTAAAAAAGACAGGGAAGCTGAAAAAATAAAGCTTAAGCCACTCTTCATCCCACAATCCAGACATGACTACCTGTGCCTGAGTGTGCTATTTGTTATATATTTAGATTGAAATATATAGTTTAATCTTTGCCATTAGTCACCTGAATACGCATTTTATCATGTCAGAAATTCTTCAGAAACCTTGTTTGTATAGGCTGAATAATACATCATTGCATGGGTATGCCCACCATTGTCCTTTTTAGCTGAGCAAGGAAGAGAGTCCCCTCTGTGAGCAGAGTTGGGTGTCGGGGCTTTAAGTGGCAGTGCAGGAGCTGGGCTAAACTGGTGTCATGATGACAGAGGTCTGTAAGCCATGAAGCTGTTTACCACATAAAGGACTCAGAACTTCTCTGCTGCATTTTACTTTTTGTTTTAAAACATAAATTCTTGCTGCTTTCACACTTATTTCTTCATCTTCACATGTTCACAGAGCACCATCTATGCCAGGCACTGAGGGTGCAGAGGTGAAAACATGTTCACAGAGCACCATCTATGCCAGGCACTTGAGGGTGAAAAGAGCCAGGGTCTGTGTTCCCAAGGGGGTTATATCCTAGTGGGGAGACAGGCATAAGATGGGGAATGTATGCAATGTAACGAAGACCTATGACGGTGGAATAATGAGTGATGATGTAGGCTTGGCCTGGAGAAGGGTTGATGGTTTGGCAGATGATTCTTTGTAGTGGAAGCCAGCCTGTCCATTGTAGGGTTTCAGCAGCCTCTGGCCCCTACCCGTAGGTGCCAGTAGCACCCACTCCTTCCCCCTAGTTGTGACACCCATACTTGTCTCCAAACATTGCCAAGTACCCCCTGGGGACAGCGGAACTGGGGTGGTGATGGAGATGGAAGCAGGAGGGTTTGTGATGTTTCAGAGGTGGATTGGACTTGAGGGAGTGGGGCCTAACAGTTTCAAAGATGATGCCAGGTTTTTAGCCCAGTGCCAGTGTGGGTGGTGCCATCTGCCGAGTGGGGGATGACTGGCTGAGGGCCGGGGCTCGTGGGTTTGGAGAGTTCTGCCATTGCAAGGTTAAGATGTCTTCTGCTTCCCCCTGGCCGCTGCTCTTAGTTGTTAGAGTGTCAGCCCAAACACTGAAGGGTCGCAGGTTCAATTCCTGGTCAGGGGCACATATCTGGATTGCAGGTTTAATCCCATGCGTGCAAGATAGTTTAAAGTAGGTATCGATAAACTACTGCCTGTGGGCCAAACCCAACACACTACTTGCTTTTATAAATAAAGTTTTATTGGAACAAAGCTACATCCATATTGTCTAACAGCCGCTTTTGTGCTATCATAGTTGCATTGAGTAGTTGTGAAAGATTGGCCTACAGAGCCTAAAAACACCAACTCTGGCCCTTTCCAGAAAGAAATTTGCTGATCTCTGATTTAAAACATACACTCGGAGTCAGACAGACCTGGGTTCTGCTCTTGGTCTGACACTACCTGGCTGTGTGGTTTTGAGCCACTTAAACCTCTGTGGCCTTAACTTTAGATAACATTGAGTTTCACACTGGAAAGGAGATCATGCGTGTAAAGTACCTGGAATAGTATCTGGCACAGAGTAAGCACCCGTTACATGTTAGCTCTTATTCTCGTGGTGATAATGATTTTCTTGGTAATCCCACCTTCTCTCACACACTGAATGTTCACTAGTAGGTGTGTTTGTCTCCCTGGTGCGTAGGGAAATAATGGACCAGCTGGAGCCCCACCTGAAGCTTGGGTTTCTCTGTCTTTTCCCAGGTCTCACTTACCTTGATGACCTGCTGCCCAAACTGTGGGCGTTTATCTGTGAGCTGGGGCCCCACGGAGGGTTGAAGCTCTTCTTGGAATGCCTCAACAATGACACCGAAGAGTCCAAGCAGCTCTTGGCCATGCTGATGCTGTTCTGTGACTGCTCCCGGCATCTCATCACGTAGGTTGACTGCTGCGGGCCTGGACTCCTTCCCTAGAAGGCAGTGGCAGTAAGGAAGCAGTTACTGATGCAGTTCCTGCTCAGGTTTGGGCCTGTGTGGCAGGGTCCACTGCTTGCTCTTGTAAATGACGCTTGAGAAGCATCAGATGAGGAAACATTTACAGAGTGGGTGGCACATAGTAGGGCTTCAGCAGTTGTTAGTTCCTGTCCTTTCAGGGAGCTGGGTCAGCACCACTGAATGTGGCCTTTGGGGTTCCTAGTCTCTGGGTCTAAATTACTTCGGTCATTTACTCGCTGTGCTAGTTTACTGGAAGCTTGCAGAGCCAGGGAGTCAGGGTACAAAACTTGGCTCCACCACTTACCGAGATGCCCTGGGCAACGGAGATAACATTACCAGTGTGATAGGGAGTGAACGAGTAAAGGCATGTCAGGTAGTTAGTACCGTGCCTGGCACACAGGGAGAAATTAACAAATGCTAGTCCCATTCAGTTCCTTTGCTCTTTAAGCTTAGGTGTCTACTCGTGTATTTGGTATTCTTTTAATCCCACTTTTCCCCCAAAAGGCTGGTGAATAATTATGAGAGAATGGATCTTAGGCAGTTATGTTCAGGCTAGAAGCCTTGGCAGGAGTCCTCAGGGGCTGGTAGGTGGCAGATTGGGTAAGAATCATGAGGGAAGAGCTCAGTGAGAGGTTGGTGGCAAGAGCAGGGTCCGTAGCTGCTGGTGCAGACCCTGACCTGCTGGGTCACGGGTGACCCAAGAGTGACTCACATTCTAAAGGGAATGGAGCCGTTTTAGGATATTTTCAGATAGAGCTGAAATACAGAGCAGGGCTTATTATTTTCTTCTTAATTGTATTTTTAACTTTTTACTGGGGACAATTTCAAGTCAATAGGAAGTAGAGAGAATATAGTACAATGAACTCTCATGCATCCATCACCAGCTTCAACACTTAACTCATTGCCAGTCTTGCTTCATCTGTATGCCCACCACTCTCCTCTCCCTCATATTTTGAAGCATATCCTAGACATTTACTACTTTATCTGTAAATTTTACAGTAAGTATCTCTAAAAGATAGAACTACACTGAATGTGGCCTTTGGGGTTCCTAGTCTCTGGGTCTAAATTACTTCGGCCATTTACTCGCTGTGCTACTTAGTTTACTGGAAGCTTGCAGAGCCAGGGAGTCAGGGTGCAAAACTTGGCTCCACCACTTACCGAGATGCCCTGGGCAACGGAGATAACATTACCAGTGTGATAGGGAGTGAACGAGTAAAGGCATGTCAGGTAGTACAGTGCCTGGCACACAGGGAGAAATTAACAAACGCTAGTCCCATTCAGTTCCTTTGTTCTTTAAGCTGAGGTGTCTACTCGTGTATTTGGTATTTTAATTCCACTTTTCCCGAAAAAGGCTGGTGAAAAATTATGAGAGAATGGATCTTAGGCAGTTATGTTCAGGCTAGAAGCCTTGGCAGGAGGCCTCAGGGGCTGGTAGGTGGCAGACTGGGTAAGAATCATGAGGGAAGAGCTCAGTGAGAGGTTGGTGGCAAGAGCAGGGGCAGAT